ATGATTGTGCAAAACCTCAAAAGAGAACAAGGACTCATCTGTAGACTACTGTATAATGCAATTCCCATAGATAGGGGTACAACACAAAGAACATGTCTGAGCATTTGGCACAGTGCAATTTCCTATGGCTATGAATAGTTTAGAGAAATGTTAGCGCAGATTACAACTGTACATGGACCAAACCAACAAAAGGCTGAAAGATGACTTATGATGCCTGTCTACAGATGTGTTAATTTGTGAACTCATTGCCTTCAAACCAATTGGAAGCTGCAACATGCCTTCCAAGCTCCCAGGATGAGATAAATCATAGTGTTTTGGAAGGAGAAATGCACGACAAATTCTGTAAGCAATTAACTCCGGCATAAATACAGCAATAAAAAATATGGCATGCCTGTTATGACAGGCAAAGGAGGGTGACGCAAGTGTGGGCATTATCTAAATGCCCGTACTTAATTCAGACGTTTCCCTCTCTAGATATTCTTTGTCCTACAAATTTGGAAGTATCTGATTTACTTAAAGGTTGCCCTATCTTGTTGTCTATACATTAAATCTAGCCCCCTCATCTAGTTTCCTCATACATTACATTCTAAATAATAGCTTTAGCTATAATATGATTTCCTTGAATGTGTCAAAACCTTTATTGATACAAAGATACTTTTAGATTCTGATTTATTACGCTTTATTAAACATATTTAGATCTATGTTTACTGTGTTTTATCCTCTACTGCCATCAATAACCATCTTAAGCTTGTAATTTTCTCTTTAACAATGTTGGGCAACCAAATACATGCATTATTTGGGAGGGGAAAAACCCCCTCAGAAGTTAAAAACATTCTTGAATTTCCTCTTCATTTCTTCACACTATTTCATTTCTTTTTCTACTTATAGAAAAGTCAAGAAGAAGAAGTAAATAAAGACACTGACTTTGCAAGATCTTGTTTCACGACGCTAACTCAACAATTTGAAGCTGAGAATGTTCATTTCACCGATTTGTAATCCTATGACCAATAATTTTCTTATAAATTAGTTTATCAATGAATAATATTATATTTTTATTTCCAACTTTTACTTTATTAATATACAGGACATGGAAAAATGCAGCCCTCTATTATGAATTAAAGTTTAAAAAATCATTCATATGAGTTGTAACTTCCAAACTACAGTACTAGTCATGAATTATTTTCTATAAATCTTAACATTGAATCTTCTTTCTAGTTAATTAATGATAATATAATAATCAACATCAAATCATTTTGCTTTCTTCTATTCATTATCATTTATTATTATTATAGATGTTGGAAGACAATAACAACTATCCTCTTTTAGCATAATTCGCATAGATTCAGTTAGCTAGATTTCATTAGATCAGTTGATTAGCAGCAAGAGTTTTAAAAAAAGCATCACGTTCAACTGTTAATTTTTTCCCTTTTCTCATAAAAGGAGAGCCTAGTCTGATTGTGGTTTGACCCACTAGCAAACATTTCTACCTGTACACACTACCAACCACCATTCAAGACTTCTTCCTTCAAGGAGCCTAAATTTCCATTAAACCCAACCATTAATGGACTCATGTGATAGCAATACAGTAGTAGTTAAAAGCAGTTTAGGTTTAACTAGCTAAAGAAAAGGCTAAGAAGATGCCTGCCACAATGCACTGGCAAGCCAAGAATATCAACAGAAGGAAGGGAGGCCAGTATTTTTATTTTTATTTTCTCTTGTTTAGAACGTAGGGAAGAGACAGGTATTTCAAGTTGTTACCTCCCTTGTGACTTCAAGGGGGTGTTGGGAAATCAAAAAGGTGAAGATAAAAGAGTGAAAGTAGAGCCATTACAAATAGACATCATGAAAATTTTCCTCACAGAACATTGATCATGACCATACTATTATGATTTATGATGCTTTTATTATATATACAGGTGATGACATGTTTATTCGTATACCCCACAACATTCATTTGATCAATTTAATTCCTTCAAAAGGATTTAATTTGCTAGGGTAGATAATATAGAGATTCAGTAGACTATGAGGCAACCACCTCTGAATTTACATCAATATCAGAAGAGACAGCTTCATAAAAACTAAAGTTATTTTATATTTATTCTTTTACTTTTCTTCTCATTTCCCTTGTCAGTGGTGGAACTAAATATGCATGCCTATTTTTACTAAGATACAATTATAAGCAGTTGAAAATAATCAAATGCAAACTTCAAGTTATCAGCTCAAGCAATCAGAGTCATATTGTCCTCAAAATCAATAGACATCGTGCTGTCATAGCAGCAAGTCAATCTAAAAATATTTTGTAACCTCACAAGTCAACTTGGTTGGTTCGACGGCCTTGAAAGTAGTTCTAAGAAATACTGGTTACTCTGTAGAACTTCCAATAATGGAATGGCACGAAGATCAGGATCAATACATATAATGCACCACCAATGATCACGTTATGCTCCACTGGAACCGTTAGGAGTAACTATCTAAATAGTAATTCAGTCACTCGTCGCAGGAGAAGCTGTTAATCCCGATTAGAATTGGAGAAAGCTCGCTCCAATTAAGTCGTTAGCAGTGATTAAAACAATTGGGAGAAAATAAGGCATAGGGGACCATTGTTGTTATTCTCTCAAGAAAACCATTGCCAGAGCATTCTTGACAGCTGAGATGCACAATGAGTCAGTTTAGCAGAGACAGAGGGAATGTACACAGCAGCCGTACATGTACAAGGGCGAAGAAGGCAGAAGCATTGCAGTTCCTTTTTTCCCCTGAATATGTGCCTATTTCCATTTTTTGTCTGATGCGCATTAGCATCTCTAAAACTTAAACCTAACAACTCTAGCTTAACACATCAAGGCAAACAAATATTTCATTCAGATTTATGATAATATATCAGAACTACTGGTTGCAGTTTATGATGCAATTTATGGCAAAATAGCATTAAACAAACAAGACCAGAACCAAGGAGGTTTCAGATCAAGCATAATGCCAAACAATCTCAAACAAGTCTCAACCTCCAACAACCTTAAACAAAACAGTAAACACCTTCTTCGCCAAATTTAAGAATGAAATTTACATGTTCCATGAGAATTTCAACATAGCCTATTTTTTGAGTTGCACTACTGTTATAATTGGAACTCCAGAAATAAGACCATGGACCTTTCGGTTGAAAATCCATGTCCCAAAATAAATAAATAAAACTTCAGAAATAAAACCATGGACCTTTTCATTGAAAATCTATGTTCCAAAAATAAATCAAACAGATAAAAGCTTTTAAATGTTACTAAGCAAACTCTGCAACCACACATGCTATGTCTGGATATCCATGTCAACTGAAATAACAGACACATGCTATGTCCAGAAGAACCGACAGAAGCTGCGTATGAAATGGAAACCACCTAATACTCAAGGGGCGCTCATATTAATATAACTGTAAAGTTGTGTAGTTAAACAAGAAAAACAAATTTATGACATTACATCTATAGTAGTTACATTAATTTGAAAAAGGCATTTCAAAATAAATCAAAGAAACTAGAAAAGTGCATACTGCATAGTATATAAAAATATCAAAGAATAGTGAAGCAGTATAGAAAGTGTTAAAAATTAAATAATATATGAAAGTCAAAAAGCACTAACCTTCTATACGAGCCGATTACTGTAGCTACTGTAGAAATATTCAACTGAAGTAAGCCTTCCCAAATATTGTCACTCCTTGATCTAGCATCAGGAATGCATGTATCTGGTTCAACATGAACAGAAATAGATTTCACATCACCATCTGGTCTAGAAATGGCATCCACTTTTCCACTGTTACTCGTGGCAATCTCTTTAGGATCTTTTGAATCAGTGTCAGATTGAGGTGCCTTAATACCAGATACATCTTCTGGTGAATCCAACTTGGATGTTAATTTTGCTGGTGTCGGATCTACGTTGGGTTGCATGCTGTTTGATTCAGGATCCATCTCAGTCTCCGAATTATCTGAGCTCTTTTCAGATAACTCTGTGGCCACTGATAAATTGTCGAAGGGAGGTTCAGTATCAAGAGCTTGCATAAACTCATCTAGAGAAACTATGGGAGGAAGAAACTCAGTATCTTTCAATTCATCCACCATCAAATCTTGCATAAAATCTGATTTTTCATTCAAAATTGTGTTCATGTTTCTTGCGTCCTTTTGGTCACCTGAATCATCCTTTTCCAGTAAAGATGAGGCTTCAGATGCCTTTGTTTCATGGGGCTTAGCGCCGACCTTATTCTCTTCAGATTTTGGTTGAGTTTGAACATCATTAGCTTTTGCTGGAATACGAGAACGTACACTTTCCCCAACTGCAACCTCCATTGAAATACTATCATCCTGTTCGAGTTCTACTACCTGAAACTCCCCTTTATGAGTTTTTTTGACCAATCGTCTCATATCTACTTCTGTATCCGGTAAAACCACCATCTGTGCAAGCTCTTCAGCTTTGGCTAGTCGCCACTCTGAAAGTTCTTTTGAAGCAAGTTCCTCGGCAGTCATAGAACAGAGACGATCTGGTGCAATATCGCCCGATAATACCCTTTCCCTCAACTCTGGATTGTTACGATCTTTAAGATTGAATAAAAGAGATCTTGCCTTTTCTTTGTATTTTTTGTTAACCCCTCCGAATAATTTAAAGAGTTCTGCTTCAATTCTAATTGCTAAACGTTCTGCATTTTTAAGTATTGTCTCTTTTGAATCACCAGTTACTTCCTCTTCTGATGATTTAGTTGTTTCAGTTACTTTGTCATCTACTAATTTAGGTCTTTCAGTTACTTGCTCAAGCTCATGTGACATTTTAGGTCTTTTAACGTCTTGCTCGATAATAGTTTCAGAATTTTCAGCATCAACTTCAGATGCCCAGCAGAGACCATGCCCTAGCAAAAGCTCATCACCAACAGAGCAAAAAGGTGTTTCGTTTTCTAAGCTAGTCTGAGTTGTTTGATCTTCCTTCACATCAGGTTTCCCTGTTTCCATTGGTTCACTTGTAATTCCATTATGATCCACCTCCCTAGGTACATCTTGGCTTCCATTACACTTCTGTTCATTGGAGACCAAAATCTCATGAGAAGTTTCAGAAGCAGAAGCATTTGAAGCTAATTCAATAGATCCAATGCCGGCTTCTGCCTGTGATGTTGTAATCACTGCCTCTTTAGGTGAGCCCTTTTCCGCAATTTGTTGTTTGTTCTGCTGGTCAGGACCGATGGCCAATGAGGCCGCCAGTGATTCCCTAAGTTTAGACCTCACAGATTCAAATGACTCCGTTTGGACCTTCGATGGTTGCACCATCTGTGTTGTGCGCTTGTTTGTTGAAGACAACTGCTGAGACCCCTGATTAATAGCCACCAAATTTTGTCCCTTGGCAGGTGCTTGCCTCTGTGCTGGCCTTTTCTTAGAAGTTGAGACTTGTGATCCAGAATTAACGGTCGTAGGTATGCCCCTGATCAGAGAAGGCAAGCCACTTGCTGATGAAAACTGTGGTAGGTATGATCCCATATAACCCGATGTTGGAGCTTGAATATTCGACAGAAGACCCATCTGTGTCGCCTGTTCACTGGAGAAGGCTGACTGATATGGATACGGAGCAACACTAACAGGGATAGGGGAGTAAAATCTCGGCAGCAAATCCATCTGAGCCGACTGTCTGCTTGCCGATGAGAGCATATGTGTTGCCATGTTAACTGGCATGGAGGTGGATGCTTTGCTGCTATCTGATGAATCCATTTGCGTAAGATTGAATGTCGCAACTGGCATATACAGTTTACACCACACGACCAACTCAAAGATTTTGCAAAAGCACTTTCAAGATTCAATAGTTCATAATATCCTGTTAATGAAAGAGGTAATATGATGTTCTCAACACATAACAATCCAACAAGATCAAAATGAAAAAGAAACTAATAATGCCCACAAATCAATCCCTAAAGCTCCTCTTTCTATTCATTACCCATTACATAAATTGAATCAAACAGAACGATTTCAAGAATTAACAACCCAATAATTCACAGCTGCAAAATTTCTAGCCAAAAAAAAAACAACTTTAAGCTAAAAAGAGCAAGATCAATAATAGCCCCCGGCTAATTTATGCATATACAGCAATTGAATCCGTCTAATTAATCAACCATTGTATAATATGATTCCAGAACCGATTCAGGTATCAAAAATCCAATAATTCACAGTGAAATAACATCAATCAAAAAAAATATCTCTTAATACTCCCAATCTAAGCGTCTAATAGAGAAGAAAATGCTAAGAGGGATAAAAATTTACAAATAAAACAAAACCCTAACCCTAATCTAAGCCATGAGATTAAAATATTACCTCAGGGGGATTGATCCTTCAGCGGCGGCGGCGGCGATGTGATGGGTGGAAAATCGAGGGATTGGGGCTTTAGGGTTCCGAAATCGAGAGGATCCAACAGAGAGAGAGAGAGAGAGAGAGAGAGAGTTTAGGTTAATTAAGAGAGAGAAAAATCCTAAAACTGAGAATTTTGTGGATAAACAGCTCTCGTTGTTATATGCACGTAATTAGTAGGGGGGGGAGAAAATAAGGGCTCTGGGAAAGTTGGAAACCCTATCTAGGTTGCCACGTGGCACTACCCTAGCCGTCTATTAACGAAGGATAGATCTAGACGCCGATTCGTGACGGGGCAAGAACTGTCACAGCCTTCCCTCATTAGTAGTTACGTGCAATGCACGTGATTGAATGATCACATCATTGTTTCTCTTTATATTAAATTTAAAAATAATAATTTAAATTATTAAGCATCAAATATTAGCTCATGTGAGAAAGTATAGTTATCTATGGTCTATACGCGTATATAGTCAATTAATCAAACGTATCATCATTAATTGACGTATATGTGCATTACCCTGAAAAAGTAATAAAAATTTAGAAAACTATAAAATGAACACCCTCAAAAGTTTTAAAAATTATAAAAAACACCCTTAAATTTTATAATTTACAAATACACAAAACTATTAAACATTACATTGAAATTAATGAATTATAAAAAATTATTAAAAAATTCAAACTTTGAAGGGGTAATTTGCAATGTACTAAACTTTAAGGGTGTTTTTTTTAAGTTTTAAATTTAATAGATTTTCAATTAGTTATTTTCTTTTCAAAAAAGTTATGGGTAATATTTACCATGAAAAGTTTTTTCTAAACCTATACTTTTAAAAGGTGTATGTATGTATGATATTTTTTGCAAAATTTTAATTTTCTAGGGGTTGTTAGTAATTTTACATATTCATTTTAATGTTTATAGGTTAGAAATTTTCATCGTGTTTTTTTGTAAATTATGCATTTTAGGGGCTTTTTATAATTTTTTAAACTTATAGGTATTTTCTACATATTGTAAATTATTTATAGACTATTTATAATTCATATAATTTCAATTTACTAATGAATTTAAAATTCGTAGGGTGTTTTTTGTAAATTTTGAATTTTAAAGGTTTGTTTGTAATTTTTTTAAACTTTAAGGATATTTTCTATAAATTATAAATTATGGCGGGGATATTTATAATTACTGTATTTTTAATGTAGTGTTAGGTTGGAAATTATCAGGATTTTTATAAATTTTATAATTTTGAGGGTTTTATTTTATAATTTGTAAAAATTTAGAGTGTGTATTGCAAATTCCATAAATTTTTGGGGGTTATTTGTGTTATTGTAGGTTTTTAGTGAGTTTATAGGTTTGAAAATTTCAATGTGTTTTTTTATAAATTTTAAATTTTTAGGGGTAGTCTCTTACATCTTTCATATTTTAAAATCAGTCCCTCAAATAACTAAAATTACTATTAGATCGCTTAATTCTTTATTTATTTTGAAATTACCCGTTAAGTTATTGAAATTGCTACTACATCCTCACATTTTTAAGATACCTTCAAATTCTCTCTCCAGTCAAAAGTATTGTTATCAATTACAGTGATTAAATTAAAATAAATAATGATAATTTGATAATTAAACAAAAACTTCCATGAGCTGAGGGATTAATTTCCTTATTATTAATATATCATTTTAAAAGGTTTCGATATTAGTCCCTTAACTCTTCTATACTTTGAAATTAGTAACTCAAGTCGTTGAAATTGCTTCCAAATCTCTTAATTCCTAAGCAATTTTGAAATTAGTCCCTCAAATTATAGAAACTAATATTAAGTCCCTCAACTGTTAAGTTAACTAGTCTATCCAATCAAGAGTAAAAAAATAGCAACTAGAGAGAATTTAGTCCTTGAAATCATCAAAAATTCTATTAATCCAATCAAGAGTAAAAAAATAGCAACTAGAGAGAATTTAGTCCTTGAAATCATCAAAAATTCTATTATGTCCCTAAATTCTCATTAGTCATCTCTAATCAATCCCTTTAATCGTTAATTCTAATATTTATTTGATGGACTGTTTGTAAGAAAAAAAAAGTTTAAGATTGGGGATGTAATACAGGGTGCCAAAAACGGTTCAGTTTTATCCGAACCGATCCGCATTCGTATCCAAACGGATGCGAATATGATAAGTCATTTTTAAAACCAGGCGGATACAGTTTCGGATACGGATTTGAATTTTTTTCCGGATACGAATCCGAATCCGGATCCGGATACAGACATGAGTGTAAGATTCAATTACGTATACAAATATTCACAATTTAATAAACATAAGAATTCGGGTCCAAATACTAAAGTTCCAAACCCGTAACCGCTAACCAACCCAAAACCCAACTAGAAAACCCTAGCCTCCACTCCAGTTTCTCTCTCAATTTCTACAACGCGACCCGTCGCCCTTCGCCGCACGTCGTCGGATCTCGCCGCCGCCCGCCTCGTCTTCGCCCGCATCGTCTTCACCGCACGCCGTAAGATCTTGAGGTCTGTTCCATAAGGTCGAATCGAAACTCTTAGTTTTAAATTCATATCTAAATTGCTCTTTTGAATTATATATGAACTAAGTTGTTTTGAAATGATGATATTACATTTCTAAATTGCTCTCTCTTCACTGGGCCTTTGTAGAAGTTTCATAGAAAAATACAAATATCTCTTTCTCTCTCATCAGTAAATAACAATTTTCTCGCCGTCAGAGTCCTCTCTCCGACGATGGAAGAAGACGATGATGAAGACATTACTAGTAGAATATAGAAGCTTAGATTGGATTGGGAGGCATTGGAAATTTAGGTGAGATTATTTTCCTGGCTGATTTTTTCCTCATTATTTGATGTTTTTTCTACAGTTTCTTTATTGAATTTACAGCATTGAAGTCCATCTCTAAAGATTAAAAGTAGTACTCTTACCTAATGTCGTGTTTGATTTTTATTTTTATTTTATATTTTTTGCGAGCTATTGCTAGGTAAAATTCCAGCTTTTAGCAAGTAAAATTGGGGATTGCCAATATCTTTCCACAATTTCTGAATATAGATCTCCATAGCCTTATACCTCACATTCAATCTAAGTAGATGTCCCGACCATCTTCTCTAGAGTTCAATCAGACATCTCAACTTTGGATAATACCTCTTGCATTTGTAATGTACGTCCTAAACGTACGTCCTAAGTTGCAACCATGGATCTATTTTGCTTCCAAGAAACATGATCATAAGAGATTCCATAACACATAACGTAATAGATACGCCGGCGATTTCTCCATGGAAAAGGCATCATGAAACTATTTTCATGCAATCATCTCAGCCACAGTACCAAATTTGCAGACATCATACGCAAAATATAACTAAACCAAATCTTTAGAAAAACTAGAGTATTTTGGTCCACGAAAAAGCCACGTATCTTTCATTACAAGCTCGATAACACAGAAAAGTGTAGCATTCGCTCCCTCACATAAAATAAGTTCTATGCTACACCATCAACCCCCACCATGAATTCCCAACTCCCAACTTGGATGGGTCGTACGTGAACTCCTGAACCCAGTTTAGAAGTTAGTGAAGGTGGGCCGTTGAACTCCTAACCCCCGATTTATTCATGGATCTTCCTTTACTAGTATGCACGAAAATGATGGCTCTGTACAATAATTTTGTGGCCTTGCCGCCTTGGATAAATTTACTTAAGAGACATAGGTTGCAATAGCAAAAGTAATGAACTTATTTGGCTAAATATAAGCATACCACCCTTAAAGAATATACACCCCTTAACTTTGTACGATTATCTGCTAACCCCCTTAACTTTCAAAATTTTAGATAACTCACCATTGAGTAAGGGGTTTAAAGGGATTATTATACAACGCTCTTAACTTTCACCAACAAATATATTCCTTTACGTAATTTTGTCCACAAATTTGAAGTTTGCAATTATTGCTATATGGGGGTTTTTGATAAATTAAAAGTGATTTTCTTATAACCCCTAACTTAAGGGAGGATTTCTTATATTTTGAAAGTTATCGTAGGTTATTTAATAATCGTCCTAAGTTGAAGGTTTTTATATTAGCCAAATTGTTTCAAATATACAATTATGAATTCAGTTGCAACTACCACAAGAAAATGAAAAAGAAGATAAGAAGGTTCAACTTTACCTCTTTGATACTATTTTGCAAAGGAGATAGGTGGCTTTCTAAATTCCCAACTCTTCATTTTCGTCTTTTTTTTGTATCAGGCTAATACCTTTGCATTCCTTAAATTATAAGTGCACGCTGAGTTGAGTTAGACCAGACCGGCTTAATTGATGTTTAAATTGTATCAAAGATAGGTGGCTAGTGTCAGGCTCTAGTTTAAATTGTTTGTTTTTCTAAATATTTTGGCATTCATAATCATTTAATAGTTAATAATTGGTAGTTGCATTCCTCCGTATGTATAGATAAACATTAACAATCCAGTGAGCATGAGGAAGTGATGCAAAGAATCACTCAACAAGCTAGTAAGATATTATAGTATGCTAAGGTAAACATTGAGTGTCTAATTTACTCAGTATAATTCTTTTAGGTAATAGTATGCTAAGGTAAACATTGAGTGTCTAATTTACTCAGTATAATTCTTTTAGGTAAATGAAAATTTCATTTCCATGAGATAAACACATTGAGTGTCTAATTTACTCAGTATAATTCTTTTAGGTAAATGAAAATTTCATTTCCATGAGATAAACACGAGTGCAAGATAGTCCAATCATATCTGAGTATACATGAATACTTAATATTATTAGTTTATCTCTATTTTCAATCACCTAACGAATAATTCATTTTCTCATATTATATATGCACGGCGCCAATGAAAAAAATAGTAACAAGTATACCTCTTAGTTTTTGTAGTTTATTTCACTCGACATACAAAAATGTAGTGTATCCTAAGAAAGTTCATTTTACGATAAGTGTTATATTTTGTACATATAGCCCTTCTGATAGTACTTAGCACCGAAAACAAGCTAGTGTCTTTGATAGTTCTTTGTTACTAAAATCAACATAATTTGCTATTATCTTCTAGTATTTGTTATTTACCGGTCCCCTTTTTCCCTGTGAAACCTTTTTCTTGTTTTTCATCCAAATCATAGGCTCCCCTTTCCTATTATGTCTTCTTTCTGCACTTATTCCATCTAGTTGATTGAATTAATAACATTGAACACTTATTTTAGATTGCTTCTTGTGCATCACTACATGCACATGTTGTGAAGATAGGTATAAGATTGCTCACAGGGAATAAGAGTTGTCCTAGCTTTCCCCACAAGAAATCATCAATTGTTATCTTGAGCATTTTGATTGCAGTCCTAAGTTCGATAAAGTTTAGTGTTACTATAGGACCATCAACAATGCTTTTAGATATATCATGAAAAGGGGTGTGATGTATGAAAAAGGGCTATCCTTTTGTTAAGAAAAGAGAAGAATGCATCGACCGCAATGAGGTAATAGTATTGGGTTATTTAGTTAGCTCAAATATCACATTTAACTTTTCTTCCAAATTGGAAAATAATATTATAACTTGGATTTTCTTTTTCAGAACACAAAAACTTTCAAGATAAATTTTTTTAGAAAATTAAGGATGAAGATGAAGCAACGCTTCTCTCCTGTGTGAGCAAGCACCCGATAGATGCTGCAATCATGATTATAAAGGACTTCTTAAATTTAAAGAAGGTAAAGTGCTAAACTTGGTAAAAATTACATTTACTATTCATTGGAGGTTGATTAAAGTTTTCCATTCTGCAAGCATTATGCGTGTTGTCTCCTTATATGACAAAATTAGCTCATTTTAAGTTGTGTTGTCTCCTTATATGACAAAATTAGCTCATTTTAAGTTGCCTTCTAACTGACAAATGGCATCATTAGTTTTTTGATTCCATGACAACAAACATTCAATGCTTAAAGTTCATCAGATATAAAATACAGACTACCTTTGATGAGAGTAACAGAAAGATAATTTTATTGACGAAAACAAACAATGGATAATGATAAGTGAAGGCTTATCAACTTCCCTTGATCAATGAGGCTTTTCCATTGTTATCAAAGTTTTGAGGACTACCAGAAGAAATTATCCTTGTATTTGTTACCATCGTATATCTTAGACAAATTGATTTCTCTTGTTACCTTATATCAACAAATAATAGTCTACTTTCCACTTTACTAATATTTCCCTCTCTGAACTATAGCAATGGAAGAGAGGACACCTTCAAGTGAAGGCTCTAGTTTACGATGACACTTGTTCACAAGTTGCACTTTTTAGACACGTGAAAACGCTACAGCATCTATCGTATACAGATTAAGATTTTGCTCTGTATTACGTAGTCCAATTAAGCGATCATGTGGCAAGACCATTAAAGGGGCATCGATTGCGTGTCAGAATTGTCATTGCTATTGTTTGAGAAGTGTTAGGTGCACGACTTGTATCTTACAATAGTCCCTCATACGTTTTTATCATGTTGATAGTGGTATTTAGCTGTTGCGAAATGTACAAGCCAACGTACATATTATATGTACAATGCACAAGCTAACACACATATTATACTTAAATATTGTTATTTAATCATCATATTTATTCAAAACATGTTCGGTACAACCTTGCTCTTTTAAGTGCTTGTCGTTAATATTTGTAGCTCTACACTCCAAACTAATGTTATTCCCTACGGTACCATTTGGCAAATGGTTAAGTGAGAGGTTAAGGAGACTTAACCTATTTTTAATCCGCCAAACACAAAAAATCTATTTAAAGATTAAAGTGAGTTAACCTTCCATAATTACCAAACATAAACAATATAAAAGGGTTAAGCTAACCCCTCTAGAGAGATTAAAACTAGTTAACCTATCAAATAAGGGGTTTACTAATACTCTTATTTTGAAGGATTAAGAGTTAACCCTTCTAATTATAAAGAAAATAATCAAAATTCTTATTATTCCCAAACACTAAAAATGATCACATGGGCTAAAACAAAACTTCTATAATGAGTTAATAATTTAGTCATTCGGAATATCAAGTAGGTTAACTGTGTTAATCCTTCTCCTTAATCTATCTTCCTTAACCCTTTACCAAACAGGGCCTACAGTTGTAGGGTTTATTGTTGATACGACCTAAAAGGAATTTAGACTTTGCCATCATGATACTAGCTCAACACAATTAACAACTACTCGTGGTCATATTGACCGAACTTCAGTAAAATCCCTGCCAATTGATCACCGTGCACAGATGTGAACATCATCTCCATCACCTCCGCCTCATCATCTCCATCGATGTTGCCTCATCACCACATTCGCCACTTACGTTATCATCATGAACACCACGTCGCCATCACTGCCATCGTCATCATCAACAACATCATCGCCACCATCATTGCCACCTCATCATCGCCATCATCACCTCCTCCACAATCGCCTTATCGTCACTGATATCGCGGATGACCTCTCTCACTATCGCAGATGCATCCTCTGAACCGCACCTCACGAGATACCAGTGGGCGCCAAAGGTGGGGGGGCTCTTGGATCGTTCACTAAGAGTGCAGCGACCATCGACATCTTCGTTGGCGGTCTCGGGTCTTGCCGTACTATGCAGCGTCGCTGCCTCCTTCGCCTTTAAAAGCAACTGTCCCCACATGGTGTTGTCTTCAGTCGCCGAGAGGAGGGTTGTTTAACTGTTCCCCTCTAGATGGATGACACATGGCATCCTTTGCAACGTGCTGTGATGTCAATGGTCCAAAGGCTTAATAAAAAAGCACATTCCCATTATTTTTAACAGAATGGAATCAAAAGGGGGAAATCGGTAGTTTTGGCAATTTTGCATGAAGGACCACTCCTTAATATAAATTCCTTCTGTCCACATTCTCTTTACTTTTAGGTCCAAGCCATTCTCCCTCCTCAAATTTCTATAGTCTAGAGGGTTGACACGCTGCTGGATTGTTGGACAAGTCTTATAAGTTTATTTATGAATCTTCCCTCGTCACTAGAAATTGAAGAACAACATGAGGAGCTGGCAAACTCTAACTCTGGGGTTGAGAGAGCTACAACGAGCATGGGTATACGAAACTCACATACTTTCCCAAATTATGTTGCTGTTGATGTCAATCCTAAAATATCTGTTACTTGTTCTAAAAGATGTTTTATTATTTAGATGCTCTCCTGCCAGAGACATCAAATACAGACTCTAATTTTGGGGTTGAGAGAGCTACAACGAGCGCAGGTATCTGGAACTCACGTACATTCCCAACTTGTGTCGCTGTTGATGTCAATCCTAAGATATCTGTTGCTTGTTCTAAAATATGTTATTTGTAACCCAGATGATCCCCTGCCGGAGATATCTAATGCAGACTCTAACTCTGGGGTTGAGGGGGTTGCAACGAGCATAGGTATACGAAACTCACATACTTTCCCAACTTATGTTGCTTGCTGTTGATGTCAATCCTAAGGTATCTGTTACTTGTTCTAAAATATGTTATTTGTAACTCAGATGCTCCCTGCTAGAGACATCGAATGCAGACTCTAACTATGGGGTTGAGGGGGCTGCAAAGAGAACATGTATCTAAAACTCACATACATTCTGAACTTATGTTTTTGTTGATGTCCTAAAAGATGTTATTTATAACCCAGATGATCCCCTACCCGATACATCTAATGCATATGTTGCAGGGGGAGTGACTATCCCTAAGGAGAAGCAACATGAAAAAACCAAAAACCCTGTGGCTCAGTGAAGGAGACATGTTGGCGGCCTTGGGAAAAGACTCCCATCTTATCTTTCTGTTTGTGGAGTTTGTGCCTTGTATAGGCAGCAAAGTTTTGAAAAGAAATTTGCGCATAGATCACTAGAAAGAAACAATAAGGGTTTCAACATAGCAGGCGCAAAGCTGTAAGAATAGAATATTAAGTTCCTTAATATTGTATAATTTTTTGCTTAGAAAGGAAATGGTATTTGTGTCTTACTTTTTATTTACAGGGCTTCCTGTTACGCTAAGTTCATGCTTGGAGAACAAACAGATGGGGACATCCAAAGATCAGTGCGTGAGCTGGACAGAAGGTATCCTTAGCATTAGATAGATGCATAACTATTTCCATAAAATACTCGAAACAACTCTTTAGCATCTATAAGAAGGGAGGGGACAAATTCTTTCTCCCGGAGTGAGGAGAGAGCCTTATAAATACTAAAGACTGTCAGTATCTTGTAATCAGTAAAAGCAATTTCCTTGTGTAGTATCTGACAATTTTATTGTAACATGGTATCCATATAGATGACTGATATCCATATAGATGAGGATCAAATTCACTAATCTTTCTATACTTGTTAATTTGGTAGACTTGGTTAGGCGTTTACATGCTAGGATTTGAGTATCGTATGTAAATGTAAGCTATCTGAGTATAAAGGATTATATTGGCTGTACTTATGCTATAAGCATTAACAAATTCCAGGTTCGTTTAACGTCAAAAGTAGGAATTAGAATGATTTATGTATCAAGGACGAATCTGATACTAAGTTGTATATAACACATTTCTAATATGGATCTGATTTGACATCAGACATTTCAAATGCTAGCAGTTTAGAATTCAGAACTGGTAGTTTTAGGGAACCAATATCATAAGTTCTGGAGTAAAGAGCCAATAAATTCTCACATGGTATCAAGAATTTCCTAATTTCAGTACTCTTGTTTTCAATAATAGCTACTAGCATGTTTTACTCCGCCCTGCATTATCGAGAATATTGTTCCAAAATAGGCATGGAATACTTCAAGGCTAAAAGTTTGTAGAGAATAGGTGACACATAACTGTAGTACTTATTGCATTGCTCTGACAGAGATGGAAGGTGTTACATGTGTGCATATAAATAACATAAATAAATATGAGAAGATTAACGTAGCCTACAGTGTCAAACTGTAAACTCGCAGATTTATATTGGTAATTTGACTGAGATGTTTAAGATTCATGAATCTGTTACGGAACTATATGAATCAGATTTCTGATACAGGACTGATACAGTGTAGCAACCATATATTATAAATGCTGACAGTTTAGAAACTAGAGTCAGTTGATTGTGTAGACTATTACAGAAGAAGTTCTGAGGCAAGAAACCAGATGTCCATCATGCATCATCCTCATCAATCAAAATGTCTTCAATGCACCTAAACAAATATGCATATAGATGAGGAATATCATGCATCATCCTCATCAATCAAAATGTCTTCAATGCACCTAAACAAATATGCATATAGATGAGGAATTAGAATGAGCTATTTAACGAGGACGAATCCCTTCAATGCACCTAAACAAATATGCATATAGATGAGGAATTAGAATGAGCTATTTAACGAGGACGAATCCGCTAAGTCGTAACACGTTTTTGATACAGAGCTGGTTTTGCATCAGACATTTCAAATGCTAACAGTTTAAAATTCAGAACTGTTAATTTTAGGAAACTATATCAAAAGTTTCAAAGTAAGAACCCAATAAGTTCTCACATGGTATAAAATATATCCTAATTTCAGCACAGTAATCATCAAAAAGTATGAAACAAATTTACGCTAGAAATTAGACTGATATAAGTAACATGCACGACACAGATACTAAATTACACGTATCAGATTTCTGATTTGGGACTGTTACCATGTAGCAATCATATATCATAATTTCTAACAGTTTAGAAACTAGAAATAATTGATTGTGTAGACTACAATTAAAAAAAACTGAAGTAAGAAACCATATGTCCATCATGTATCATACCCATCGATCAACATGCTTCCAACAACGCCCCAGGATGATTGAACATGGGACTATTTGGACAATGATGCAATGATGTTGAAAATAAAATTGACCATTAAATGGTATATATTGTATACTAGATTCTGATTGTTGTTGCTAATTAAGTTAGATGCATAAACCGAGGGTTAGTTGTATAATCCCTCGTATTCATAATAGAGAAAAATCAGTGGAAATTACATAAACAAATCAGATTTTCAACTTCTTTGAGCTCACATCATAATCATGTGAGTTATTCCTTCAAGTAATGATCGCCGATCTGTATTAAGACCATCTTTTTAATAGGAACCTAAACTACAAGTACATTAATTTATGAAAATGGTTCTTAAGACTCCCTCAAAGATATGTATCTTCTCTTTTTAGTACTTGCATTAAGGGGAAAAAAAAATCATCATCCTTGTAGAGCCAACATTGCTTGTGCTTAAATTGAGGTGTAAGATCAAAGTTTGATAAGCCATTGAACTCTTTTAATTTCCACTTAACCTTTTTGAGACAATTAAAGCAAAGGGACTTGCATGTGGCCAGAAAATGTCAACTGATCTATTTATTGCGTTAAGAGTAAGAATGAAGGAACAAGAAACCGCTAATAGAAATCTACTGTAAGAAATAGTCTGAAGTTTAAATTTGAAAATGGTTCCCTAAAATTTCACATATTTTACACTTTGATACCGACTGACTACAAACCCTTCGAAAATCTGTTACCATATAGGTTTCTAGCTAATTTTATCTCGATTCAAGAAATAAAATTCCTCTCAAATACCGTCTTTTCCTGTAATTTTTTTAAATACTATTCAAGGTTATGAGCATTCAATTCAAGCTCATCAAGCATACAAAAGTAGGAAGAAGTGTTCCACAGCTAAAAGCTTGCAGAGAATAGTATATTACATATGTCAGAGTACATTTTGTACGCTCTGACAGTAATGGAAACACATTTATACTAGAAATTGGACGGATATATGTAATGCACAAATCTGATACTAAACTGCATGTTTCAGCTTTCTGACACGCGACTGATACATTGTAGCAACCATGTATTACAAATGCTAACAGTTTAGAAACTTGAAACATCTAATTGTGTAGATTACTGTAGAAAAGTTTGAAGTAAGAATCTACGAACTTCTCATCTACTCAACACTGTCCTTTTTAATAGCTTCAGGTGGAACTGACAGTATAAAAATGCATTGCAGAGAGCTTGAGCAACAAACATGCTGAGACTTAGCATACATTATTTGACTTTAATTGTAATGGGTCCTTTTTGTAATATCCCAGCCATTGAGAGGGTGATGTGATTAGTATTGATAGATTTGATAGCGCGTGAGTGAGGACAAAAAACATGCTGAAAAGACATGTGATGGTTTGTGAGGCCAGTCCATCAGATCTAATAGCGTACCGACTCCAGGATTCCGCGGTGGGGCGTTACACTTTTGAAAATCAGTCTATCACACTACAGAAAATAAAAAAATGAACTTAGAAGTAAACTGAGACATTACATTAGTAGAAACATTATACAATCAAAACATTTACATAAGCTCTCGTTGAAACTCAATACAAGACACTAACCAAGTACACAACACATTAAAAGCAAACCCTGAGGTGTTTTTTCCCCCTTTTTCATTGTATGGGAATGAATAAAACAACTCAACTTATCTACCAATCAAAGAACGGTGATCAATTTTAGGCCTCAATTTGATGAATGCGGCATCCACGCTTTACTTCAGTCTTCTTTTTTGCTTGGGCTTTGTACTGGTTGTAGGTCATTCATGTCAATGACCACAATCTCTCTCTTTATCTTTGCTGCATTATGAAATTATAGAGCCAACCAGTTAGTTTCTAATATGTACCAAAAAATAGAGTACAATCAAAGAAATAGTGTTAAGAAACATACCTTCTTCTGCATCCTTGTATCCTTCTCTTAGCTTCCTCTTTGAAGCCTCCAGTTTGTCTTCATACTTTAAGACAGTAAGTTTTGGTTTTTGCTTCATGTCAGTGTCATCTTTCTCTTCTGTGATATTTTCCTCTCTCCTCATCTCACTGACATCCTTCTTCTCAACAATATTTTCTTCTATCTGAGAATTGAATGGTACATGGAGATTAAATTAGTCCACTACAAAACATCAATATAAATGAAATTTAAGGTAATATTTAGAGTATAATTAGTACCTTCGAGTAATCCATTAAGACAGTATGTATAGCATCTAGTGGAGCAAAAGGAATCCCACATAGAAAAGAAAGGTCTTCCTATTTTGCGGGACATTGAACAACAAAGACTCCGGTGGTTTCTGCAATTTGTGACCACTGATTAATTACAAGAAACTAAAAAAATCACAGGAAAAAAGAAGAAGATAAAATCTTACCAGTCAAATATTCAGTACCATTCACCCACTCATTAGAAAGAACCTTCAATCTCCTATAGCCAAAGATTGAAACCAAGAAAAAGATCAGGAAATCTACTACAAGGTTGATGCACATCAAAAGTTAGTTCCATAAAGTCTATACATAGAAAGAAAAACATATTTATGAATATAAACGTACAAGCACTCTTTTTGAAATTTCAAACAAGTTCCAATTCTTAGATTGGTTGATCACACACTAGTCTACTTTGATTTGTATATTCTTGAATCTTATGTTTAATTTAAGAAGCTAAGTTCAACTCAACTATTACTGAGCATAGTACAACTTAGACGTTTATTTTGTGCTGATTGCATAGATAAGAGAACTTGAAATCTCGTCGCGATGTAATTACTGGAATTTATATAGTGCAATTAATATTAAGTTCACAGGAGCGGAAGTCAATCTACCAAAGAACAAACTTAGATGTGTATGTAGAAAGAGAAAATAGAGAGCAAACCCCTAGAATACTTATTTATTGAGATAATAAGAGATATATATAGCCATACAAATAGGGTTAAGGTTAACGGGTAACAACCCATTAACCTAATACATAATACTTAATTTAACACTCCCCCTCAAGCTGGAACATAGATATCTACCATGCCCAAGTTATCACATATAGTATAGAACACTTTTGAATAAGTAGCCTTGGTAAGAATATCAGCAAGTTGCTGTGAGGATGGAGTGAATATGAGAGATACTATCTTCTCCCAAGCATCTCTGACAAAATTACAGTCAACTTTAATATGTTTTGCCCTCTCATGAAACACAGGATTCTGTGCAATATAATTGGCAGACTGATTGTCACAATGCATTGGCATGGGTCCAGGCTGAACAAAACCAAGCTCTGTCATAAACTTTTGTAGCCACCATCTCACA